CAGGTTCAATGTCATGTATAGTAACATTATTTTCATTCAAGGCATTCTCTATCGTTTTAACAAGTTGACTCGGTGGATTAATGAGAGTTTCAGTTTCTGGACACTGAATATTGCCTTTATCGCTTGTTTGGATATATCCTGTAGATAATATATGTCTAAAAGAAAGTCTGACCATTCTTGCTGTAGGAATAGGATTAAATCCACCGCGTTGTCTTAATTTGGAGAATAAATGTTCGACAGAGTCTTGATTACACAATCCTGTAGCAAGTTCGAATGTTTCATATTGCTCTTTTAGTCCTTTATATGTTTCAAGAATTGCTGGTATTATTAAAATGAAATCTTTCAAACAAGGCATTTTTGAAATTCTGTCTGATGACAGAGACCATCTTGAGCAACCATTCAACAAAATTTCTTAATAAAATTTCAATATCTTGATTTTTGGAAGACAATAATCGTTTCCACCAAATTTAATGTTCAAACTATAAGAATTGCAGGCATCAATTATCTTATTCAAATGCTCTGTAAAGTCAGCTGTTGCTTCCCAAGTATTTGTTTGTAACTGTTTACTATATCCTGCTGTTTTTATTGCAGCTGCAAACCTGTTACTGAATATTTGAAAAACTCTTTTCACATTCATTGCTTCAAAGGTATTGGGCCGAATATGTGCTGCTGTTATGTGCGATAATAAATTTGAACCTCCTTGTGCGGTATTATCAATAGACCATGTTATTTCATAATCGGGATATGATGCTATTATTTTTCCATCGCAATACAAATATTTATGTTTTCTTAACAAGCTTGCCAATCTTTTTACCAAATGTGGAAAATTAAATGATGCGTAATATTTTTTTTCATTATGTATAAAATATGTCTTATCTGAGTGCACACCAAGTTGAGCATAAGCGCTTTGATTAGATGGACCTTGATCGCACGTTATAAGTTGTACATCAGCACTCGTTTTGCTCAATCTATCTAAGCATTCTTTCATTAAAATCACTATTTCTTCCGCTTTCATACATTTTCCTGGGAAAAAATATGCTAGCGGTTGACGCCATGGATGAAGCGCATTTATACTATCCACACAAAATACAAATACGCATTTTGTCCTTTCACTTTTCCTTCCTAAAGGTCCAAGATTAACGAGTCCTTCTATTTGATCCAGACTAAATGAGTATTCCTCATATGATTTTATATACATTTCATCCCATTTTAAAGCACAAATTCTTTGTTCTACAGGCAACTTTGAAATTTTTTCCTGCAATTTACAGAATATAACATCACAAAATCCTAGTATTATATTAAATTTTTCGTGCCATCTTCTAATAGTTTGTTCTGCAGGAAAATTGCAACCTGCCTTTCGTAAACGACGCAATGCAGATGCCGAATAATAAAAAAGCTGTTTCAAAAGAGTTTTTTCTTCCTCTGTATATGCCGCATGTGAAGTATGGAGTTGTAAATTAATTATTGCTTTTGCAACGGGATGCAGATTTTGTTCATTAATTAAATTTTATATTTTCTTTTTGTTATTTTTTTATTTATTTTTTTTTAGGAACTTGGCGACGTTGTAAACGCAATTTTAAACGCTTTATAGTCTCCCGCAAACGAATATTTTCACGTTTTAAACTTTTAATTATCTTTTCTGGATTATATTCTTCTTTACAATTTTCTGTCATTAACAGATCACATTTATCAATGTTTTCATATCTTACAGGTTCTAAATGCATCCATTCTGTAATATCTTCCTCCTCTAACGATTTGTCAAAATTTAATTTTGCTGGAAGATAAGTTTGTTTGAATCGATCTAATAATTGATTATTTATTTTATCATTATGATCGATATTAAATGATGTTCCTGCAATTGCGTTATTATATGTATTTTCTACTTCTTCCATTTCTTTTATTTGGTTTTGTTCTTTTTTTGCTCTTTGCATCTCTCCTATTTCTATAGCTGCCTCAGATTTTTCTTATAAATTTATCAAATCATTAAATCGAATTGGCACATCATCGCGTTTTAATGTTTTCTTGCCTTCCCCCTTAAATGAGTTAGCATTAAAATGATCTGTACACAGACCAGCACGACGAACTGAATTGACAGTCCATTTTTCTAATTTAATATTCTCTAAAATAAAGTAATGAAAAACGATTAACAAATAGTAAATATTTTGAAAGCACTTTCAAAACATAATTATTTTATTTCCAAATAATAAATGAGATAATAATTGAGGGTGCGGATCAAAGAACTCACGATTTTTACAACTTTAACTATTGTTATTTGTTAAATTACTATTGTCCTAAAAACCGCGTCTCTGGAGTGTATGTGAAATATTTCGAAATAATAATAATAAAAGTATTTAATTAAGAAACCGTATAAATAATAGTTCATTATTTCGATATTTCGTGGGAAGTGAGCGATTGTTCAAATGTATAACCATTAAAAAATACATTATAAAATCGAGTCCTGGAAATCCGAATGGCGAGTACGCTGCCTGATGGTGCTCAGCGCTCACGAAGCTATCATTGCCGGCGTCGCATGTTTTCTTATAAAATGCATATTTCTGCAAATTTTCAATGAATCGATCTGAAAATTTCCAGAAATCTTCCTTCAGTAGTGAGGAACAAATGTATCACTGGAAGTTGTTCCAAATTTCAAGTTCCCTCGATACTTTTTGTCGGCAAAACTAAAAAAACGTGGTACCGATTGGCCTTAATTTGCAATTAATTATTATTAAACAATAAGCGATTTTCAGCTTTTTTATTGTTTTGTAGACATCGCTAGACTATACTGCATGCG